GAGTCTCAAAGTGGCAAACAATCTCCTTTCCCTTCTCCCCCACAACAAACATTCTGTGAGGTGAGTGAGGCTGAATGACTTCAGATAAGCGTGACTAGCCCAAGGTCACCCAGCAGCTGCATGTGGAGGAGCGGGGACGTGAACCTGGTTCACCAGATTACGAATCCACCGCTCTTAACTACTACACCACACTGGCTCAGTGCCCCATTTTGCAGTCCCTTTCATCCTAGAACAGGCATGGGGAACCACTGGCCTGCCAGATGTTTGCTGAACTGCAACTCCCATCAGCCCCAACAAGCATGGCTAATGACTGGGGATGATGGGAGCTGTTGTTAAGCAACTTCTGTAGGGCAAATGGTTTGCCACACATGCCCTAGAATTGTCAGGGTGGGTTTTCTAGATTCCTCCCAACTCCCTCAAACAAAAAAGTGAATCAGGCTCACAACAATGAAAGCAGCTAAAATATTATCAGTACTTCACCAGTTCCAAGATAAATTCATGGTATTTCTAAATGCCCCACAACTTTTGCAGGAGCAAACTGTACTGAAAGCAGGATCACATATAAACACACCAATAACATCATGAGCATAAATCATTGTGAATGTGCAATAAAAAGACTGCCCAGAGGTGCCAAGAGTCTCTTTCATTGATTGCAAAGCAGCCTCCAGAATATAGACTGTATGTTCGCTTTTGAGGTAATGAAGTTTCATGTGAAGTTGTCTCATTTAAAAGGTCACAGCAGATAATTTCCAAAAGTTCATTCTGGCCTTTTTTTAAAAAAAGCAAGAGAGCTGTCTTTTGCGTGTCGAGTCAGGAAGAACTGTGCTGCAGACAAATAAGGAATGGGAGACTGAATTATGAAATTGAATCAGGTGTCCTGTTTCTTGTCTGAAAATTCAGAGCAACAAGTCCTGGAGAAGGGAAGCATGCAATACTGCCACTTTTCCACGAGGTGGTGCTGTCAGAACTCCATGACTGGACTCCTCCAAATCAATCTGAGATATTTCACTGTCTAGTTTCAGAGGTTTATTCTGAATTGATGTCACTGTGGAAGTGTTGTTTGAGCCCTGCTTCCTTCTCTCTGGGTGGGAGACAATTCCACCCTGCCCTGAAGGAGATACACCATCTCCCTTGTGCAGGATTGTTCAATTCTAACCTCACAATGAATATATGTAATTGAAATATTTACATTGCATTCTCTTGGTTGTTTGGTGGGTGGGGAGTTCTCATTACCTTGTTGACGAATGTCATCCTGAGAGAGGCTCACCTAGTGCCCAGGTTGTAATTTATTTAGCTTTTACATTTGAATTCTTTTTTCTTCTTCTTCCAGGCAGCTCAAGCTGGTGTCCATGATCCCCCCTCTCCCCATTTTACCCCCACAACAACCCTGTGAGGTAGATTAGGCTCAGCATCACCCAGTGGGCTCCATGATTAAGTGGAAAATTGGTCTCCCAGGATGACACTGGCTCATGTTTTGTGTCAGAGAAGACTTCCTCCCACACCCACAGCAGTGGAAGTGGTGACTGGTACCATTGGGACTGATGGGCAGAAGGCAGAGAGTCCAACAGCAGGTGGAGTGGGTGGAAGCAAGAGGGCAAGTTCTTTCCTACAAGCAAGCCAAGGGGAGAGCCAGTGTGGTGTAGTGGTTAAGAGCGGTAGACTCGTAATCTGGTGAACTGGGTTCACGCCCCTGCTCCTCCACATGCAGCTGCTGGGTGACCTTGGGCTAGTCACACTTCTCTGAAGTCTCTCAGCCTCACTCACCTCACAGAGTGTTTGTTGTGGGGGAGGAAGGTAAAGGAGATTGTTAGCTGCTTTGAGACTCCTTAAATAAGGTAAAGGACCCCTGACAGTTAAGTCCAGTCACGAACGACTCTGGGGTTGCGGTGCTCATCTCGCTTTACTGGCCAAGGGAGCTGACATTTGTCTGCAGACAGTTTTTCCAGGTCATGTGGGCAGCATGACTGAGCCGCTTCTGGCGAAACAGAGCAGCCCACGGAAATGCCATTTACCTTCCCACTGGAGCGGTACCTATTTCTCTACTTGCACTTTGACATGCTTTTGAACTGCTAGGTTGGCAGGAGCAGGGGCCGAGCAACAGGAGCTCACCCCGTTGCAGGGATTCGAACCACTGACCATCCAATCAGCAAGCCCAAGGCTCAGTGGTTTACACCACAGTGCTACCCGCATCCCTGAGACTCCTTAGGATAGTGATAAAGTGGGATATCAAATCCAAATGCTGCTGCTGCTGCTGCTTCTTCTTCTTCTTCTTCTTCTTCTTCTTCTTCTTCTTCTTCTTCTTCTTCTTCTTCTTCTTCTTCTTTCACCTTCCTTCTCCTTAGTCTCAGTTTTGCCCCTTGTAAAACCCAGCAGGACAGGGACAAATCTAGAATAAATTGGCTCTGCTTGTCATTGGCTTTGGCTCCATCTACTGTTGGCCTTCCTGTCTTCCACCCCACTTGTCCCAATGGGTACCAACCACCACCAAAAACACGTTAACAACCAGGTGCTATTCTCAAGATCTCAGATGCCTCCTTCGTAATACCCAAGCCCAATTTCAGTCTTCCTCCTCCTGTGATGAGAGTGGCGCATCTTGAGTAGCCCATTATTATTGTTTTGCAGAGAGCATGCAGCAACAGATCTATATGCACACTCATGCATCCCTCTCTGCCCTTCACCCAGGCAAGCTAGAAGCATTATCAGAATTCAATAAAACATTCCAGACAGACAACAACATAAATGAGGCTTTAAAGTGGGGCACAGAGGACTGTGGCATGGGGAGAGTGCCAGGGGCCAGACAGAGGGGCCTAGAGGGGAGGCCTGAAGTTCCCCATCCATAACCTAGACCAATATGGTGCCCTCTAGATGCTTTGGATTCGAAGTCCTATCAGCCCCACCTACCAAATGGGCAGTGGAGAAGGTTGATGTTGTACCCCACAACATCTAGAGGGCACCACATTGGTCCTGCACAATCAGAGTTATGGGGTGCAAGGAAAGCCTTCCTGAATACAGCTATATGTGCAAAGACTCTATCACAACAGACCATCATGGTATTTTCACAAAGGTTAGGGTGCAGGACTGATGGACATGCTCACATCCCCTGCTCCTCTGTTGACCAGCATGAGAGCAAGGAATGGCTGAATAGGGCTCCTTGGAGTGAAATCGCTGATGGAGATAATTTGCCTCTAGAGAACTAACATGGAAATATGTGGCCAGATCTTAAAGCTTGTAGTCCTAAACACCCTTTACCTTTAACGGGATTAAGAGGGATTTACTTCCAAGTAGATAGGCATAGGGTTGTAACGGAAGGCACTATGCCATACACTGTTTGCCATTTCATGCACCTGGAAAGGTTCGTTTTCAACCATTGGCTGTGATTGGGTATTATAGGTCAATTGCGTTCCTCAAATAATATATCCAATTAGGTCTCTCTCGTATAGCATCAGCCAAAAGTACAAACACTCCCTGTGCTTTTAAAATTCCCAAAGCAGAAAATTAGGGCTATTTGAAGCATATCCCTATTGCCTGCAATTATGGATGAAACAGTTTCACCTTTCTTCCCCCCCCCCTCCACCGCCGCCACCCCAGTTCTCTCCCTTGCCAGTGACATGAGTGAGCTAGCATTTTATCTTCAGTACCCATTCACAGGATGTTAATATTTAATTGCTGGTATAAGCCTGATAGAGATTTGAAGAACAACTATAACAGAGGGTTATAATATAGTCTTTTATTGGAATGTGTTATAGATGGCTGAGAACTTCTGTTTCTGCTATATAGATTATACAGTTTACCTTGTTTCAGCAGAGAAAAAGGAGGTGCTTATAGGTTGTGTGGATGGCTGAGCCAAACATATCATAAAGAGGATTTAATTGTTCAACATCCTGTGCAAGTTACTTGTAGCACTGTGGCATATATTTGCCTGTTCCTCAGGCTCACGGAAGCTGAGCTGTAAAGGAGTTGTTGCTTCAACAGTGAAGCAACCAAGACTAAGAGTTTATATTGGAGCTGGAAGCTCCACCCTGCCCTGGCTCTCAATCCAGCCACTTAATTCACATATAGTTCCCATACACTTTGAATACTGTCTCATGCAGCTAGCCAGCCATTTCCCCAATGCTTTGGTGATTTCCCAGCTCATCTGCCCCAACCCATTTCTGAAATTCTTCTCAATCCCTAGCCATAACTGATAGAGCACCAGTGTATATGAATCTCCAAGGAAGGGCCGTGTATCCATGGGGAAATATGAGAGGAAAATGACTAGAGTTTCAGCCTGAGACATGAGTGTAGGTAGAGGAAAGGATGGGGAAGATATAGCAGCTATGCCAGGTGAAGAAAGACTCTCATAGGACTCACCTGAATATTTTCTAGGGTTTTTGTTTGTTTAGCTGGAAGTCATGCAAGCTTTCTGAAAATCCAATTGAGTTCAAGGTGAACCAACCATCCCAGGCAGCAGGTGATGATGGTGCAGAGTGGGTTGGGGAGAAGTATTTCAAGGCAGACCTGGGTGTGCCAAACAGCCTGCTCTGCACCCCCTAGGTTCATTTGTGGTCTTCAGTTGGGGTGGAGGGTGCTGTCCTGTTGCCAGTGCTGAAATAAGATCCCACTGACCATCTGGTTGGCGTTAGTGTATGACACAGGGAAATAGGTTACCTTGTTCTTCAGCTTAGGAAGCAAAATGTTTTTTGGGCCAGCTCTGTGAACCATCCCACAGACAGATCATTGGCTAGTCTACTATTTTGCTCTTCATCATCAGTAAGGTGATTTCAGCCCAATTGCGGATCACAAAGTGAGCAGGTTGATCCAGCAGAGCTCATCAAATTTGATTGTGCAATGGCAATGCTTTTGGCAAATTAAAATAGTTGGGAATGAAAATCTTGTTTCTAGGACTCATCATGTGGAGGATCCCATCCAAAAATGGATCAGCCACTGAGTGGGGTGATGTCACAATGCAGATGAGGTCACCAAGGGCAAGTCTAGACAAATGAGAATGAGAGCAGCTCAGTGCAATATAAGTTTGTAAGGAGTAACCCCTCCCCCACAAAAAATCACTGGGAACAGGAGTTTTTCCCCTTTCCTTTTTAGTATGGGGGGATTTTTCCAAAGATTTTGAACTGTTTTGCTGCCCCTCTCATTTGTATGTTTGCTAGGAAGAAGCTGAGGGGTGAGTAGACTCTGTGTACCATGTACATATTTTAACGTAGCACATTACAATAATTTATGGAAAGTTTCTCTGTCTCTCTCAACTGCAGAGGTGGTCAGAGGAGAGGATAAATCTTTAAAAGAATAATGTTTTCAAAATCAGGCTCCTTGTCCTCGAACCTTTTGATATATGAGAGCAATCGTAGGTAGGACACATAGTGAAATATACATGAGATCTCCCCAGAAGAGAATAGCAGAGTGGAGAAAATATTAGTGTTTACATCAAAACTCAATTGGCGCACTCGTTTCAAGATGATAGTTTATTATGTTGAATGCAATTTAGTCCCACAAGGATATTTCCTCCATCTGTGACAGACACTCACTTGCTTCTGCAGACACACTCATGCTTGCCTCTTCTCCTCTGGCCCCCGCCCCTGCCATCATTCTACCTGGAAGTTGACATTTCTAGTGTATAATTCATCCTCCCCCCCCCCGCAATCTTCTGAAGGTTGGAAATGGGGGAAGGAATAGCCTGGTTTAGACAAGTTCACAGTTTCTTAGAGACCACAGAGCCTGATCTTCAGCTGGCATAAGTTGACGTCGCTCTGCTGGCCTTGATGAGATGAGATTGCATTTACATCAGTTGAGGAATCTGTCTTTATGTCAAACAACTCTGCATAGGGAAGAGAGAAAGAGAGGGAGAGAGATGGTGGGTGGGGTAGGGGGGCCTGTGTGGAATTAAATATAAAAAGAAATCTCTGCATGATGGAATGGAGAGCTGATGCCTCACCAGCTGATCCCAGATTCTACCCTCTGGGCTTAAAATGAGTCAAACTTGCAACTGGTTTTTCGTGACAAAGCCAGTGATGTGAAGAGAGATGAAGATCAGATGGTGTGTAATTCTGGACCAGGGTTGGGGGACGTTTTTCAGCCTGAGGGCTGCTTTCCTATCTGGACAATGTTCTGAGGGCCACATGGGTCAGAGGCAAAAGTGGGTCAGGGGCAAAAGTGGGAGAGGCGATGCAGATCCAGGAGAGCAAAGGTTATAATCAGATTTCATGGACACATTCAGGCAAAAATCTTTGCCTGAATGTGTCCATGAAAGAGGGCCAGTTAAGGGTGTGTTTGTGGTGTGGGAAGAGTTCTGAGGGCCAGACAGAGAGACCTGGAGGACCACATTCACCCTCTGATCCTAATGCTGTCCACTTCTGAGGAGTGATCAGTGAGCACTTAAGTCACCCTGCCTGTATGCAACACATTTTATCCTGCTAATCAAGGACATACAGGCAGGGCTGGCCTGAGACAATTTGCTCTAAGGTGAAGGAGAAAATGGTGCCCCCATTCCATGTACAGAAGCAAACTGGATAAGGAAATCAACACAAGCAATGAGACAGTGACCTCCATCACACCTGAGGGCATCAGGCTAGCTTAAGGGGTACAAGGCAAGTGGTTTGGCACATGCCAAATCACTGGTAACTGGAAGCGGCCACTGGTACCGTATAACACCAGTCCTGAAAGACCTACATCGGCTCCCAGTACATTTCTGAGCAAAATTCAAAGTGTTGGTGTTGACCCTTCAAGCCCTAAATGGCCTTGGTCCTGTATACCTGAAGGAGCGTCTCCACCCCCGTCGTTCAGCCCAGACACTGAGGTCCACCCCAAAGGCCTTTTGGCAGTTCCCTCACTGTGAGGGTCTTCTTGGTAGTGGCGCCCTCCCTGTGGAACACCATCTCATCAGATGTCAAGGAGATAAGTAACTCTACAACCCATAGGAGACATCTGAAGGCAGCCCTGTACAGTGGTACCTCGGGTTAAGTACTTAATTCATTCCAGAGGTCCGTTCTTAACCTGAAACTGTTCTTAACCTGAAGCACCACTTTAGCTAATGGGGCCTCCTGCTGCCGACACGCCGCTGGAGCACAATTTCTGTTCTCATCCTGAAGTAAAATTCTTAACCTGAAGCACTATTTCTGGGTTAGCGGAGTCTGTAACCTGAAGCGTATGTAACCTGAGGTACTACTGTATAGGGAGGTTTTTAATGTTTAATGCTTTTTGATGTTTTTATATATGCTGGAAGCTGCCCAGAGTGGCTTGGGCAACCCAGTCAGATGGGTGGGGTACTACTACAATAATAATAATAATAATAATAATAATAATAATAATAATAATTTATTATTTGTACCCCGCCCATCTGGCTGGGTTTCCCCAGCCACTCTGGGCGGCTTCCATAGAAACAAAAAATACAGTAAAATATCACAGATTAAAAGCTTCCCTGAACAGGGCTGCCTTAAGATGCCTTATAAATGTCAGGTAGTTATTTATCGCTTTGACATCTGATGGGAGGGCGCTCCACAGGGCGGGCGCCACTACCGAGAAGGCCCTCTGCCTGGTTCCCTGTAGCTTTGCTTCTCGCAATGAGGGAACCGCCAGAAGGCCCTCAGCGCTGGACCTCAGTGTCCGGGCAGAATGATGGGGGTGGAGATGCTCCTTCAGGTATACTGGGCCGGGGCCGTTTAGGGCTTTAAAGGTCAACACCAACACTTTGAATTGTGCTCGGAAACGTACTGGGAGCCAATGTAGGTCTTTCAAGACCGGTGTTATGTGGTCTCGGCGGCCGCCCCCAGTCACCAGTCTAGCTGCCGCATTCTGGATTAATTGTAGTTTCCGGGTCACCTTCAAAGGTAGCCCCACGTAGAGCGCATTGCAGTGGTCTAAGCGGGAGATAACTAGAGCATGCACCACTCTGGCGAGACAGTCCGCGGGCAGGTAGGGTCTCAGCCTGCGTACCAGGTGGAGTTGGTAGACAGCTGCCCTGGATACAGAATTGACCTGCGCCTCCATGGACAGCTGTGAGTCCAAAATGACTCCCAGGCTGCGCACCTGGTCCTTCAGGGGCACAGTTACCCTATTCAGGACCAGGGAGTCCTCCACACCAGCCCGCCCCCTGTCCCCCAAAAACAATACTTCTGTCTTGTCAGGATTCAACTTCAATCCATTAGCCGCCATCCATCCTCCAGCCGCCTCCAGGCACTCTACTAATACTACTACTAATAATAGTAATAATTAATAAATAAAATAATTCACTTGGATAATTATTATTATCCATCAGAGGGGAATACCTAGCAGTCTCAGAAGGAATGGCAGAGCACTCCCACTGCCCCATCCAATAACCCAATGCCTGCTTTCCCCTGCCTAAGAGCAGTGCCAGTCACTGCATGCATGCCCACCCCCGTCCGACTCCCTCGTTTGTTCTTTTGTATAAGTGCCATGTGCTAGCTTTATGACTTGGTGATCAATTTTGCTATTGAATGCCCTGGCATGGCCTCTGATGGGTTTATAAATTATAAGCCTGGCCAACGGAATAGATGAGCGTCCCCTTTCCTTTGCTGCAGGCCATCTCCGGTGCACACAGCCACTTGCGCCTATAGGATTAGCAGCACAGGGCAGGTTGATATTGAAGTGTCTCACGTTAATAACAGGGCAAAATTGATTGGGGAGGGGGAGGGGAGGATACAGCAACCCACTTTAAAAGCAGCATCCAGTTTCTGGAAGGTGGATGAGATGGAACTTGACTGCCAACAGTTCCTTGGTTACTGTTCATATCGATTTAATTTTTCCTTTTTTTTACATGGGGGATGGTATAGCATCGTGTCTAAGGGACTAAGCTGGAAATCAATAAAACCTCAGTTCAAATCTCTCCTCCGCCAGGAACCCAGTTACAGCCTGAAGCCAGGGCTGGTTAAACACAGCTCTCCGGGCCTCTCAATGTGGCCCTTGGATCTTCCCCTGTGTGGTATTGCAAGAGAAGACCCGACCAGGCTGCAAGACAAAGCAAAGTGATACTAGCCACAAAGGCTATGCTCTGCCTCAACAGTTGGAGGCAGTAATGCTTCTGAATACTGGTTGCTGGAAACCAAAGGAGGGCAAGGTGTTCTTGTGCTTGAGTCAGAAGCGGATTTAGGGAAATGTGACCGGTTTGGCCACACTGGACCTGAAGCCTGTGCTGAGGGCACTGAAACTGTGATTTAGAATGGAGCGTGAGAGGTGGAGGAATACTGGATTTTGGTGTTGCACAGGGAGCTGTTGAAATTTGAGACCCCAAGATCTGCCGCTGCTTGCGTCCTGCATGCAGGTTTCTCACGGGCATCTGGTTGGCCACTGTGAGAACAGGATGCTGAACTAGATGGATGACTGGCCTGATTCAGCAGGCTCTTCTTATGTTCTTAAGCTTCAGGCTCGATGGATGCAAGACAAAGCAGGGTTCAGGCTGTGCTCTGAATTTGCTCCAGCAAGGAGCAAGCTGAAACCTGGGACTGAACCCAGACCTTGCAGCTACTTCATCCAGCACACGATGGCACTCTAGCCTCAATTTCTGTTTACTTAGTGTATCCTACTTATGCTGAAATCCCATGTACAGTGACTTGGGAGTAAGCCTCCTTCTTAATGCTGCAGCGAGGCTCCTCACGGGGTCTCCTCCATGGGAGCATATTCACCCAGTGCTTTTCCAGCTGCACTGGCTCCCGGTGGAGTACAGGGTCAGATTTAAGGTGCTGGTTTTGACCTTTAAAGCCCTTCACGGCCTAGGACCCTCATACCTATGAGACTGCCTCTCCCGGTATGCCCCACGGAGGTCCTTAAGGTCCATAAATAGCAACACCCTAGAGGTCCCGGGCCCTAAGGAATTCAGATTAGCCTCAACCAGAACCAGGGCCTTTTCAACACTGGCTCTGGCCTGGTGGAACGCTTACTCTCATGAGACCAGGGCCCTGCAGGACCTGATTTCTTTCCGCAGGGCCTGTAAGACAGAGTTGTTCCACCTGGCCTTCGGTTTGGAATCAATTTGATTCCCTCCCCCTCTTCTTTTTTCCTTTCTCCTCCTTTGATGGAACTCCTATTTGGGGACTTCCCTGGCTTTTTGATTCTAAGGAAACCTTTATGGCAGGGGCAAGGAGCCCTTTCCTCCGTAATGGGCTGGACACACTTGGTTGGTAATTTTGGGTGCTGTTTGCCAGTGGTGGGTGGGGCCAGAGTCAAAACTGGGTGGAGTCCTGCATTTTCTTTCATTCTTTCTGCACCCCTTCTCTCTCTCTTTCCTCCATTGCCACCCCTTCTCAACATCTTGCTTTTTCTCTTCTCTATTTCTTCCTGTCCAGTGGGTTGCTGAAGTGGACACACATACAGAGAGAGAGAGAGAGAGAGAGTTGGCTCTGGTGCCATCTACCTTCCTGCTATCTATCCTACCACCACCAGAGGGCACCACTCAACCGACACTGTTCTATTCCCGGGGCATCTACCGTGTCTGCAGTCTTCCTTTTTAAAAAATAAATAAATAATGAATTGATTGTTGTTTCCTAAAGCAGAGAGTACAGAAGTAGCTGACTGAGGAAACGATTGTATGTGCTTGTGTTCCGGGGCTCTAGGTGGCCACTCAAGCAGAGGGCAACATTTGTTTTAGGAAGCTAAACCCATTTATATGGGACAGTGGAACTGTGCCCTGAAATCTGGTATGAGCAATGGTGGATGGTGCCCATTGGGACTGGTAAGGCAGCAGGCAGAGAGACCAACAGCAGGGGGAGCCAGAGCGAATGTTAGGCAGAGGCAACTGATTCTAGCCTCGGCCCTCTCCTCAGTTCTACGAGGGCAAATCTGAGACTAAGGAGGTGGAGGAAGGGGACAGAGGCAGTGCCACTCCTTGGACTGCTTGCAAATAGGAAGGCAGACTGGTTGGGGCTGCTTGAGGGCAGGCTGAGGTGCCCCATTTGCTCTAATAGACCACCCTCCACTGGGTGTTCAGCAGCATTAGTGAGTGCAAGCGCATGAGGCAAGAATGTTATGCCGAAGAGCACATCTGTGTGCACGGGTGAAAAAGCTGCTAGGTATGTAGCAAGCCTGTTTGATCAGCAGTCACTGTTTAGAAAGCTGTAAACATTCCCGAAACAGCAAACACCTGTGGAGAGCCTCGTCAGTTTGCCGGGAACAAGGGCTCCAACATCGGAAATTAATGTCTAAGGAAATAACTAGAGGATGATGTTAATAATTAAGTCTTTTAATGAGCACATTAATTTTTCTTCAATAGATTGATTCAGCGTTTCCTTTCCTAATATTGTTGCACACGCCAAAAGCAAACTTGCAATCTGTCTTGGTCTCCTGCAGAAAATAAAATTGCTTGAGCCAACCTGCCCTTGTCTCATGGGCTGGATGCGTCCATGGCACATGAAAGAGCAAGCGTCTGTGTATGAGAGGGAATAACGATGGGTGTGTTCAACCAAGTTTTCTGCAGAGCAGAAGCACTGAAAAGAATGAGCTATATGTACAGTGTTTTTTTAAGGGGGTACTCAAGGGTACATAAGCAGTACCAGCGCCTTTTACTCTAGAAGAAAAGCACCAATGGTTGCACTAGCAGAAACTCCTTACACAACAGATGACACAATCTATTGTGCAGCAAAGTTGCCAGGAAATTGCTTGTGCACTCTCCTGCTCAACAGTGTTCTGCTGGCTCAAAATATTTCACTACTAGTAATGTGTGTATGCCACTAAGTGACTTTAACTTAATACTACATTGGATACAGCTCATATAATTGGAAGGGACTCAGTGTGGAATCTGCAATGCTGGATCCATCTGCAGGATCCCAGACAGAAGGTCACCCAGCCTCTCTTTAATTGTCATATGTGGTTCTTAGGAAGATGATAGTGCCTCTGAGCACGTTTTAGAGCAAATAGCCCTTCCATATCAGGAACTAGGTTTAAGGGCTTCTAACCCAAATGGTATAGCATCCTGAGAGTCTTAGGCACATCTCATTTTAGAAATCCCTTTGATCTCAGTAAATCTAAGATGACTGACAGGCTAACCTGGATGTAAGTTTACTTATTCCATTTTCATCTTATTTGATTTTCTTTCCCTCTCTCTGTGTGTGGCTCTCTCAGTCTCTCTCTGAATAAAGAATTGCCCATCCTGTGTCCTCAAGCACTGTCCATGCTGTCATAGCTATATGAGACCCATAATGATTCAGAATGGAAATTCTGGGTAAGGTGGCCAGTTTTGCATTGCCAAAAAAGTGGATTTGCATTGCCAGAAAGAACGAGGACAATGCAAGGTATCAATTTGCATAATATGTGCATATTATAATAGTTACAACGATTTAAATAAAAATACAATGCACTTCTCCACAATGGGGAAGACACCAGGTGACATCTGTACCTGTTCAGGCAGCTGAGCAGTTGCTGCTAACTGTTGATGAGCAACTTCAGGGCTCCTGCTCTCCCTCAATGTGAACTGGACAGCCCTCGCATAGAGGACACCATCAAAACTGTCCTGTGGCCACACAGCTACCCTAATTCTGAGATTCTGGCTGCTTTGCCCCATCCCAGCTCAGGTGGCAAAAGGAACAACACTTTCTTCTAACAGGCAATCAATTTCACCTTTAAAAAGATAGTCTTTACATAATTAAAAACAAGGGCTTTCATGAAAGGATATTCATTAAGGATTTATTTGCAAGTCTGTAATGGATTTAGTGGCACAGTTTGCTTATATTGGATGTGTTTCTGTTCCATTTAAGCCTCCAGTCAATAGCACACTCTTAACAATCACTGCATCTTAGTGGCATTCCAGCTGAGGTTGACAGGCATCCTTTATTTCAAGAGAACGGCCTTTAGGGCAGAACTCTGCAGTCTCACAGAACAGAGCGCATACGCTCCCACGCTCTCATAATAAGTCACCTCCCATAATACTTGTATCTAGCTAAGTTCTACTCCACGTAGACCCATTGAAATAAATGACCCTAATTGAGCCATGTCCATTAACCCCAAGGGCTTCTGCAAAGACCTAGCATTGGCTGCAACCCCAAAACTCCATAGCAAACTTTTAATTTGAAATTTGAGATGACCTACAATGGGTGTGGCCTGGCGGGTGAGTCCCAGAAGGCAGATAGAATGACCTGAAGGCTGCATCTGCCCCACCCCCCCACCCCTTGTCGGAGGTTCCCCAGCCCTACAATACTATTTAACACTGAGTGTAGAAAGGAATCTGTGACTGCATCTGAAGTTCCAGTTGAGACCATGGCTACATTCATACCATACATTGAGTGAACCAGTGCTTTTTTCCTGGGGGTACGCAGGGGTACACATACCCCTAAACATTTTGTGAATCTTTGTACTTTTGTCCATTTACTGTATTTATTTTTCCCAATTTGAACTATAAAATGGTGATTTTCTTGAGTCAACATGAGAGTACCCCTAAACATTTTTTAATTATTATTTTATTTTAGAAAAAAAAGCACTGGAGAGAACTATGATGCCACTTAAAAAGAATCATGGGAGCTGTGGTTTGTTAAGGGTGCTGTTAGGAGACCTGTGTTCTGCTCTCAAAATGACAATTCCCAGTGTGGGTTTAACGATCAACCCATCATCTAAGAATTGTAGCTCTGGGAAGGGGGATTGGGGTCTCCTAACAACTTTCAGAACCATTAACAAGCTGCACTTCCCAGGAGAAGCCATAGCTGTTCAAAGTGGTATCACAGTACTTTAAATGTATGGTGTGAGAGTGGTCTATCTCTGATCATTTAAACTATTTCTGAATTGGATGTCGAGGTGAAAGGTCGTCCCCATCCTTTATTCAGACTTTAAAGCAGCCTCTCCCAAGCTTGAGCCCCCAGAATTTGTGGAACTCCCATTATCTGTGCCTACTCCCCATATTGTCTTGGGTGATTCGGGACTCAAGCTTGGGAAAGGCTGCTTTATTGCCTAAAAGAACAATTAAAAAGAAGCAAAACCATTTAAAAGTTTAAGATTTGAGAAAGTTAAGTGAAACCATTGAAACCACAACAACCCATGCCTGTTTTAGAAACCAACGTACCCCAAAAGAATTAAGAGAAAAGAGCCAATTTTAAATTCCATTCTCATTTGAAATGCTGGCCTAACTGCTCTAGGTGCCCCTTTAAAATAGGAAACAGCTGGCATTTCTAATTTGTACAATGCACTGTAATTAAGCAATGAAGTGTGCAGTAAACTCTTTAGATTTAATAAACTTAAAGGTTCATGTTCTAACCTTGATTGCTTTGTGTCTCTGCCATTCATGTTCAACATACTGATGCCAATCAACGGAAGAATAAGCTCTGTAATTTGGCAATGAATGCCAGTTATTTTGAGCCCGTGTGCTAACATGAATGTCAGCAGGCAAGCAGTGCATGGGCATCATTGCTGGATCAGATTGGGTCGCCATGTGTCCTGTTTTATAGAGGACTCTCCTCTGTTTGAAGGGTGGCCCCTCCCAAGCCCAGTTTATAGAGAATGGACCTTGAGAAAGGAGACCTTGAAGCTGATCTTCCACAGATAGCTCCTGGAGGGCCAGTGTGGTGTAGTGGTTAAGAGCAGTAGACTCGTAATCTGGTGAACCGGGTTTGCGTCTCCGCTCTTCCACATGCAGCTGCTGGGTGACCTTGGGCCAGTCACACTTCTCTGAAGTCTCTCAGCCCCACTCACCTCACAGAGTGTTTGTTGAGGGGGAGGAAGGGAAAGGAGAATGTTAGCCACTTGGAGACTCCCTAGGGTAGTGATAAAGCGGGATATCAAATCCAAACTCTTCTTCTGGACCACAGACTAAGCAAGCACACAGTCTTCCCTGCCACAGTGAGATGTCTTGCATTTCTATTTAAATTATAGCAACTGTTATTAATTTCCATATACACAAAGAAAATAGCATATATTTCTCCTCACACCCATCATAGTTTTTATTTTATAATTTCTAACACTTAGAATTATTAGAATTATGGTGCTGGGGGAGACTCTTGACAGTCCCATGGACTGCAAGAAGAACAAACCTATCCATTCTTAAGGAAATCAGCCCCGAGTGCTCACTGGAAGGACAGATCCTGAAGCTGAGGCTTCAATACTTTGGCCACCTCATGAGAAGAGAAGACTCCCTGGAAAAGACCCTGATGTTGGGAAAGATGGAGGGCACAAGGAGAAGGGGACGACAGAGGACGAGATGGTTGGATAGTGTTCTCGAAGCTACCAGCATGAATTTGACCAAACTGTGGGAGGCAGTGGAAGACAGAAGTGCCTAGCGTGCTCTGGTCCATGGGGTCACGAAGAGTCGGACATGACTAAACGACTAAACAACAACAAACGCTTAGAAGTCCAACAGAGAAGACAAGTGGCTGTTGAGAAGGGCAGTACCACAGCAGTAGAACATCTACATTGCCTGCAGAAGAAGACAGCTTCACTCTCCTATGAGGACTGGGGCAGAACCCTGTCTAAAATCTTGGGAGAGCCACTCCCAGTCAGGGTAGACAGTACTGAGCTACTTGAACCAAA